TATTGTTTGCATAAGATGCGCAATCACCGCGTTTTATAGAAAAACGACAACAACAAAGAAAAGCCGATTCGGGTAATAAGCTTACTAGTTTTCATTTCGGTGCAACCTGATGCGACAAGGGGCAGCCGCGAGTTGCAAACTGGGGATCCCATCAGGCTGAACAGCGAGTTTTGAGAGTGAACCGCACAAAACAAAATTACCTTTTTTGTTTCAAACTCCTCTTTTTATGTTAATCATAAACATTTAGATTGGAGAGCAGCTAAAAAACCTTCTGCCTAGTCTCGATTTATTTCTACCAAAGCATAAACAAAAAATTACATCAGGAAACGAGGGCACAGAAAAAACATTACAGAATAATTTCCACGAAATTGTCTGGAACATTCTTGCAGACCTCATATTTACGCTCCTATAAGAAGATTTAAAATAAAATCAATGTTAAAATCATGTAATTAAGGGTTAAATTTGCAAATGCAGGAAAGGCTATCCATGGAATGTGAATCTTCAGTTTGAATTCTCTATTCGTTTTAGACCAAAGTAGCTTGGCATCGTTGTTTGAAGTTCAGTTAGAGATGAGGGGATTTTTAGGTGATTGAATATTATCACCCTGACGCTGTTCTTGTCGAAGCTGGAAAGAAAGGGACATATGGTAGAGAAGGTAAAAGAAGAAACCCGCTCCAACTATTTTCGCTTAGTCTTTTATTTCAGCCATCAAAAAAGAACTGATCGAATTCGTCAACCTTAGTGGCGACTCAACTTTTGAGGTGCGTTTCTGAATTATCTAATGGATAAAAAGAAGATACCATATGAGAAAAGTCAGACAGATCGAAAAAATTCAACTTTACTGTTGCTTGTTCAGGCTAGTGAAGAGCGATACCAAATGTGTGACGGGTACATCATTTACAGTGGGCTCTATGAGAACAAGACGGAGAAACTAGGGGTGGTCAAAGGGAAATTCACTCAGATATGGCGAAAAGTTGACGACAAATACTTACTACTGCTTGATGAATGGTCCGAATAAAATAAAATTCTTGTTTGTGAATAAAAAATTGAACTGGACAACCTTCC